CTGGGCCTTTCTCTGATCCAGCAGGGCTCTTCTTGCGTTCTTAAGAGCACACCTCCTGGTGCAGGAGGAACAGTGTGTGCCTTGCCCATCCTGCCCACTCCTGGCTACGTGAGAGCTTATGCAGTACAGTGTGCATGAAATGCCAAAGAAACACAGGGGCTTTCAGCAAGCGCTCAATCTCCGTCTTGGTTCCTGCTCTGCAACGTGGGGAGCCTAATGCTACTAAGGCGCATGACTGGGCTGTTGTGAGGATTTCTGGGAGAATGCATGTGAAATGCTCTGCATCTCATGTGCAAGATGTGGTTATCACTGTGTGTGCAGGCACAGCCTACCGACAGGAACTTGGAGCATTGAACAGTGTTACAAATGGGATAGGAAGTATTGGATTACTCAGGTTGTAGCAGGAACTCAAGAGTAAAGCTATTGATGGCTCCCTTCAAAGTGTCAAACCATAAAATAAAACTGGAAATCCAAAGCTCTGAGTCTGTTTTCTTCGGCTTTTCTTTTGCATCTTGTATTTTATTTCCCGGACAGGAAAACCAACTGCTGTCATGCTGCAGAGTGACATTCTGTCAGTGCTAATGTTGACTTGTGACAACTGGTATTTAAACTGTATTGTATACTGTTCAGTGGTGTCAGCAAAGTTCCTGAATGGTTAAATCACTGTCATAATGCTGGCTTTTTAGTTCCCACTCCCATGAACGCGCTCCTCTAAGTATGGTTCTCGGAACTGCCTGTGGGAGATGAAATGCTTTCAACCACCGCAGATGGTAAGCCTCCAAAGTTTTCTGGAGTGGTTTGGGAGAATTATTTGACAATGGTTTTCAAAAGCTGAAATAGCACACAGTGGCTTGAGGGCGGCACAGGGTTGCATTGCATGGCATCATTCCTCCCAGCCTTGCTGCAAAAGCCTCGCACAAGCCGTTGTACAAGGGACTGAAAACGCTGCTCTGCAGTGCCTCGCAGAAATCACTGCCCGACTCATTATGACTTCATTAGAGCGGATGCCGCTTGCGCTAGCATGCACTAGTTCCGTGCTCTATCTAGTGTGACGCAGGTGGACAAATTTTGCTAGTAGAATCGACATTGCACAGTTGTGCAATGAGTGCAAGCAATGAACACGAGCGATACCTGAAGTCACCATCTGTGGGGCAGTGCTTTGTACAGTGCTTTGCAGAATAGCCAGCAAAACCCCCTGTTGTGAGGGATGTCTGGCTCTTTCGTTTCAGTTTTCAAATCAGTTGAAAAAGCCCCATTCGCAACACCGAATGTGAAGGGGAGTGCATTTTATCCCCAAATGCTCACATTTCCACGTGTGCTCATGTTGCCAGGGAGAAAGCACGTCTTCAATTTGATGCTTCTGCAAGAATAATATAAGTTTTCCACAAGTAGAAGCTTTGCAGTGGCAGAATGACACCTCTGGATGCAAACAGTAGTGTTGGCAGGTATGCTGCATGCTACATTTTGTTAAGTAACCACAACCATCAGGAATATTTGGTCCCTCCCATACAAAGATCAAATCAGTCAATCCTAAAGGAAATCAACCTTGACTGCTCTTTAGAAGGTCATGCACTAAAGCTGAAGTTCAAATACTTTGGCTACCTAATGAGAAGGAGGGACTCATTGGAAAAGACCCTGAAGACGATTGAAGACAAAAGGAGAAGGGGGTGGCAGAGGTTGAGCTGGCTGGATGGGGTCCCTGGAGAGGTGAGTGTGGGGTTGGGTGGACTCCAAGGGATGGTGGAGGACAGGAGAGCCTGGAGGAATGTTGTCCATGGGGTTGCGAAGAGTTGGGCACGATTTGGCGACTGAACAACATACATCTGAAAACAGATTCTCTTCTATCAATTGCAGTCATGGTTCATTATGCATGTATTTCACACATATCACACCAGTTTCCAAGGAGCTATGGCTATGCCTTTCCCTTTCCTTTAATCTTCACAACAGCCCCATGAAGATAAACCAAAAAATACTGTCTGGCTCAAGAACATCTAATAGACAACATGGTTAAACAGAGATTTGAACCCTGGGGTTCTTCGCCTAATTCCAGTAGTCTAACCACTACATCAAAACACTTGTTTCATTAAATGTGTTCAGAACTGTTTACTGTAAACCCAGCATGGAGCTATGGTGTGAGGGGAGTAGATAAACCATGGTTAGAAGGGAACTTGGTTAGCAGGGACCATGATGAGTAGTGCTTCAAGGGATAATGTTAACACAGCTAACAAGGGAAGGAGGGGTTACTCTGCAAGAGGACATGGAGGTGCTGTTCTGAGGCTACCTCATTATAATTTTCAGGGAGTCATCTTTGCATCTGCGTTCTGTCTCTACAGCATAACCCAAATTGGCAATGGGTCAAATCCCTAATTTAGCTGTAACCTGAAACAAATTTCAAGTGTAGATCATTAAAGGAGGTCACCTCTACATTGAAACAGAAAATTAATAATCAACATGGACTCCCCTTTGAATTCATTGTGATTGACAGGCATGACTTGGTACATTCCTCATCAGAAAGAAGAGTATTTGCATTTGGAAATAATTATTGCTTTGGTTATTTCTGAGGTGTTGTAAAGCAGATTTTTCTAAAGTCTTCTGTGCTCTGGGGCGATGATGATTACTGGGGCCAGCCCTTCAATGAGGTATGGTGAAACCCCTGCTCAGGCAGTAGATTAGGAAGGAGGGCATGTCATGACCTCCTTCTGCTAGGTAGGCCTACACCAGCCCCAAAATGCCACAGTGGGAGAGTAGCCCCCTGGGTTCTTAAAGCAACACCCAATGTCTCACTGTGAATCAGAGTTGAGAATGCAAGGAGACTCTGAGCACCGTGTCTTTTGCTTTGATAGAGTAAGAATGAGAAATTGCATAGGTGGGTCTTTGGAAAGGCTACCCACTTACATGAGAGATCTCCCCTCCAAACTCTCCTTCTGGACATGTTTCCTCAAAGCAAGACACTATATGGTGGAACTCGAAACAGCCTGGAGACAGGGGCGTGTGTGGTGGCAATAATGGGGGGGAGGGAGGGGCAAGGCAGGGGCAGTGGCCAGGTGATGCTGCAGCACCTGTTCTCCTGCCTCAGGTGGTAGGGTGTCTAACGTCAACAGTGTTGACATTCTGGTTTAGGTGACTGATGCCTTGTGATATGCTTTAGCAGAGAAGCATAGAGGAACCGGTGGAACCAGTTGCCTAGAGAGGTCATGGGCTCTCCCACACTAGAGACATTCAGAAAGAGACTGGACAGCCATCTGAGCAGGATGGTGTAACTTGGTGTCCTGCAACAGCAGGGGGTTGGACCCGATGGCCCCTTCCAGCTCTGCTCTTCTGTGATTCTATGACTCTTCATATGTCTTTTGAGAGAGCTAGTGTGGTATAGTGGTTAAGAGCATGGGGCTGGGACTCAGGAGACCTGGGTTCTAGATCCCACTCAGCCATGGAGCCAACAGGGTGGCCTGGGGCCAGTCACAGACTCTCAGCCCAGCCTACCTCACAGTTGCTCTTGTGGGGATAAGGTTGAGAGCAAGAGAAGGAGAGTGATGTAAGCCACTCTGAGTTCTTTTAAAAAGAAAAAAGTGGGATATCAATCAACCAACCAACCAACCAACCAACCAACCAACCAACCAACCAAACAAATGTCTATTCCAGCCGCTGATAGCCTTGTCATAACCATATTGCCTAAATAACACAACTGCTAAGCCGTGACACTTATTAACCATAGTTTCTGAGCACTCAGGAGATTGAGTAGACCTGGCCTAGTAACATGACATGTTAATCCAGTTCGTTTACTGGATTTTCTTCTGCAAATGTGTAAAGTAGCTACTCTGGGAATCTTAATACTAACAGCAAGGGGCAGTGCTGGAAAGCTGCTGCTCCTGGTCACCTTTTGCTTGGGGCATTCGTTAGGTATATCTGCTTCTGAATCAGAGGGATTAGTTCAGGTGACTTGAAAATTAAACTTTACAGGTTGCTCTCGAAAAACTTGGCTGGAAGCACCTACATTTCTGGATATTCTCCAAGCTGAAATCAAGCCTGGACCCCCTGGAGGGGCATGAGGCCTTGCTGCCCTGTCTCATGGACTATTTTTTGTTTTGATAACTCAGTTTGCTAATCAAGGTAAACGAGGTAAGCCTGCTGCACAGCTGGCATGCATAAATAGTGTACATCCAAGGCATTTGCCAGTGGGAGTAGCATTCCTAGCGAGGGACATATTTGAGAAATGTGCTGTCCCTGTTTTTGCTCAATCTCTCTAAGGCTAATCCAATGTCAGATAGTTATGCAGGGGATAGTGGGAATTGTAGTCCATCGCCTCTGGAAGGCAGCAGCTTGGGGAAGGCGGTTGTAGATGGTATTTGAAATGGGAAGAAAGCAAACAGCTCTGTTTGCAATGACAGGCCATGCCCTGGTCAAAATGGCACAAGAGTTTCAGATCACAATTGCAAGGTAGGAATGAAAAATAGAACCAAATAAAATGCTATTTTTTCATGTGTTTCAGCACAGGCAGAAAAGGTCAAATGTCCTCGTTTTTTCCCAATTACTTAATGAAATGCTTTCTTGGTTTCCATTACTCCAGCAAAAAAGAGGGAATGAGACAAGGCCTTTCTAAATTTATCATTCGGGTCAAATGTCACCTTCCGTTTGAAAATACTGGACACAATCTGGTGCTGTTCTTACACAGCCTCTGCTTTCATGCCCCAAAAGATCTGGCCTGTAAGAGTATATAAATCTCCACGGCACAAGGTTTATTGACCCTTTGACTGGACTCTTTCTGGAAAATTTGGCCAGCTTTGTCCCAAAGGGTCGAAGTTCACCAACTTCACCATTTGACATCAATAAACATCAACTATTCCTGCTGAGTGAGGTCAATCAATTCTTGGCCATACATTTTCCAAAAGCTCCGTATGCTAACTGAACTGAGCTGCCTGCGCTGACTGGCATGATGGAAATAATAAAACACGTTTCAACATACAGCTAGAGGGAAAGGGATTGGCTGCAGGGGGACCACTCACCATTGCAAGAGCAGCGTACGTTTCGGTAGAATCGGGGACACACAAAGCTAATCCGAGCTGTACTGTAGGTCATCGGGGAATGGGAATCGATAGACAAGCTTTGCTCACAGTGCTGCTCCTGACAATCCAGTCCAGAGCAATTCTTCTCCAGGATAGCTGAGATGCGAATCACATTTTCCAAGTGTCGCCTTGCATTGGTGAGCTTCTGAATTAGGTAGGCTGGCTTGTAGAAACCACCGCTGTGCATCTGCACTGCAAACAACATGTCAAGCTGGTTGCTTCCTGCCACAGGCTGAATGCTGATGATGTGCAGGCTATCTTGCTTCTGGGTGAGGACGGCATTGCGCAGGGTGCGCCTGAATCCATGCATGTGGAGCCCCACGAAATCCTCCGGGGAGATGCTCTCAAAACGGATGGTGACCGTATTCTGCAGCATTTCCTGCATCAACTGCTCAACATGGACTGTTACGTCCATGGGCACCTGAAAGCGCCCATCGCTGACGGACACATTCAGCACATACTTCCCACTGTCGAGTCCTCCAAGGGCAATGATCTTTCCATCATGGTTGTTGACCTTGAATAAGCTTTTCTGCTCTGATTTCAGCCCGTAGGTGAGGACATCGTACATATCTTGGTCTGTTGCGTGTATCTTCCCGATAACACCTCCCGGAAAGTCATCTTCTATAGTGACAATAAAAATTTCAAGAGGAATGGCTGTTGGCTTGTGGATGCTTTCTTCAATCACCCGGATCTGGATGAATGTGCGGGACGCCTGCTGAGGCTTCCCAGAATCCTTTGCCTAATTTAATATATAAAAAAAAGGGGGGGGAAATCCCTGTATTTAAAACATGATGGACATGAGTATAACTCAAGCACCACCTTAACATCAAGATTCCATGCTCTTTGCAGCATGATGCTGATTATCAGTGCAAATAACATTTGCAAATAATTCCATCATCAGATGAATTCAACCACCTTTGCTACACAAGAGCCAGAGAACTAGACTGCTGAACTAGACCGAGACAGGTTGCAATCCTAAACTAACTTTGTGCAAGTCAAACTCAGGGTGCAATCCTATGTAGGTTTAAACATAAAAGAAAAAACCACTGACAGGGGCACAGAGGGACTTGTAGGTCTTTCTTGTCTCTGAACATCCATATTGCCCTATTCATGCATTCGGGGTGAAATGTCACCCTATGCTGTAAGCATACTATGGGGCTTCCTATGGGTTTATCGAAATAATCCTGAAATCAAATCAGACAATATTAAAGGAAATCAACCCTGACTGCTCTTTAGAAGGCCAGATAGTGAAGATGAAACTCAAATACTTTGGCCAGCTAATGAGAAGGAAGGACTCCCTGGAGAAGAGTCTAATGCTGGGAACAATCGATGGCAAAAGAAGAAGGGGACGGCAGAGGATGAGGTGGCTGGATGGGGTCACTGGGGTGGTGGGTGTGGGCTTAGGTGGACTCCAGGGGATGGTGGAGGACAGGAAGGCCTGGAGGAGTGTTGTCCTTGGGGTTGTGGTGGGTCAGACACAACTTTGCGACTAAACAAACAAACAAGTGGTGCTGGTGGTGAGGGGTCCTCAAATGTTGTTGGGACTGCAGTACTTGTGGAGGAAGCATACCCCTGCCCGCCCCACCAGCCAGGAGCCAACTGATACTCGTCCTCTTCTCCAAGCTTGCTGCTGGCAGGGTGTGTCTTCTTGGGGGTTACAGGAGAGGAAGGAAGAGGCAAACCTACTTCCCACAGGCTACAGTCCTGATGAAATTGGAGAGAAGAGTCTTGAGCTTAGTTGTGAACAAACAAAAATCAAACCCCAAACAGGCATGGCTACATGACATAACATGGAGTTTGGCCTTCAGTGGGAATTACTCCTGAGTAGACACCTTGCACTTCTCTTTGAATTATTGCAACAACAGTCTGGAAAAAACCAGGGTGCTGCTCCTTCCCCTTTGGGTCTGCTTCTGCATCTTAATGAAATGCTTGCTGCTGTATACGGAATCAATACTGATACTTTACGCTGAGGCTGCCTTAAAGTCAGCCTGCCCAGTTGATTACCATCTGGCTCAATGGGCATCAGCTCTCAAAGGCCTTAAGCAGGAATCTATTTTTTCAATCTTGCAACCTGAGTTCCTTTCGGCAGGAGACAAAATCTGTCCTTCTTGCACTGAGCTGCTTTTCTGCATGTAAAGTATGGAGTTTTGCTTCCCCTTCTCCTCTTTCAGGGGAAACGGTCAGGGTTGGGCTAAGATGAGTAAAACATAGTTCTGGTATAACCAGCGGTCCCTGGTTCATTGCAGTGGTCTGCCTAATGAAAACAACAACAGAGAACACTAAAGGAGCAGAACACTGAGAAGAGCAAACCATCTGCCTTTTCCAGCAGGACAAATCAGAATCATCCACAAAAACCCTGTCCTTGGGAATACTGCATTCACTCCATTTTGGCACTCATGAATTCAATTCTGAGTGTGGAAGCTGATCTCAAATTCATGAGAAGCTCAGTTTACCTCAGCCAGCCCTTTGTTAGCAGATGTGCAAAGCTCCAATTTTGAAAACAGTCAACATCTCAGGATAGAGCCTCTCTGCTAGGGGTCAGAAGGCCTGGGCAAATTTGGATGATAGCAAGTAGCCAGTCCTCAATATCCTCCTGACTGGTTTTGCAATGACAGGACTTTTCTGGATTACCTTCCTTTTAGGTATGCAATGCACACCTGGTATGCAAATTCCAAACACCATTCAGATATATAGAAAGGTTTACTTGCTTAGCGGGATCGCTGTGCCTTTTATATGTTCAGATCAGGAAAGGTAACACAATTTACCCTCATACTAGAAGCAAGATTTCTTTTCCTCTTTCCTCTTTCAGTAAAGGTGTCTCAGTTTATATGTGCAGGGAAAAATATTTTACAACATTAATGCTATCTTGTTAATGTCCCACCTTCTATTTCATGGAAATGATTCTGCAAGATAGCCTGTTATCTATTTATCTCTACAGAATTCAGCACGGATAATAAAATGCATAATTTTAGGAGCAGTAAAAAAGTAATGCAACTAAACAAGCTTCCACATGGGCACCTGTTGGTGAGAATAACATGCCTGCAAATTGAGAGAGCGGGTGCATTTCAGTGGTTTGAGTGCCCGACTCTGAGAATAGCCCCTATCACAGGGGTGTTGCGAGGTTAACACAGTGAAGAGGATCAGGTATGTCATTTTAGGCTTCTTGGAGGAAAGGTTGGGCATAGATGGAACAGGTAAATAATGCAGATAAATAGTCTTTCATGAGAACACATCCTTGCTACTCTGCACATACAAACAGAGCTGTACCTGAACGCAGAGCAGATACTCGGTTGCTACCATGTGCTTGAAGGTGACTGCAGACCGCAGGATGCCTTGCTGGTCCAGCGTAAACTCTTCTTCTTCATTACCAGACAATATGGAGAATGTGAAAGGAGGCCCGTTGTGCAGGGAGTCTTTGTCTGTCACCACCAGCTGCAAAATGCTCGTTCCCACTGGTTTATTTTCCTGTGTGCATGCACACAGTGGATATGATAAAAGGAAAAAAGAGAGGATTTTAATTATACATCTGGGCATCTTGCAGAGGCAATGGGTTTGCTGCATGGCCTTTGTAAAAAGGTGGGGCTTTGTTTGCTTCTGGTGTTCAAAGCTATTCCCACTGAGCACTGCAGTGCTGGTGGAAAATCTGTGGCAAAATGTGCATTTGCGTCATTTGATCATAACCTAAGATGATCCTGTTTGGACCAAAGGATTTGTACAGAGTGGGGGTGGGCCGTGTGTCCTGAACTAGAACTTCCATCCTCCCTCACCACTGGCTATGCTGGCCTGGGGCTGACGGCACTTGGAGGCCAAAATATCAGGAGGGGGCACAAATGGAACAACTTGGAATTGGAGCATGATAGAGATTTTTTTCTGCAGCTGTTCATGTTCTGGCAACCTCTTGTTTGCATCACTGCCATGGACTGTGTGTGGCTTCCTTTGACAACGGTGTGGAAGCCTCGGTTGCTCTGCAATAGGGAAGTGAGATGATTAACAGAGAGTGGCCTCCGATCGAAGCACTAAATGGCTCAAGGCCAGGATTCCCGAAAGACTGTCCCTTTCCATTTATATCAATGCAGAGATATATTAGGAAGGTTATCTAAGATCCTCCTCAGACACTGTCTTCCTGGGGCCCTAACCAAATGAAGTGAGAAGAGTCTCTCATGGAAATAGGGACTTTTTAGTTGTCAGATCCTAGCTGCAAAATGCCTTCTTGGAGAGTCAGATGAGGCCTGTATTTTGGTATTTTGAGTGCCAGATGAAGATGTTTTCCCAGGTTTTTAGTTGTTCTGTTTTTCTAAAAATAAAAATGTTGTTAGTACTCTTTAGATCTTGCATTCCAACTGTTTTTACCTGGGTTTTACCATGTTTTAAGCTATCAGGTGCCTACAACATATTTTATTGTGTGTTTACACTGAGTTTCAGTTCTGCGAGGGTTCTTCAAAAAGTTTCCACACTTTTACAAACTCTATTTATTAAGAATTTCAAAAACAAATTGCATCACTTGTCTACATAGCCGCCTTCCATTGTGATGCATTTTCCCCAGCATCAAACCAACTTTTTAACGCCATCAGCAAAAAATATGTAAAATATATTTATAAAATATAAAAGATAAAAGATAAAAGGGAGGAAGGCTTTTGAAGACCCCTCGTATTTTGTGAAATGCCTGGAGAGCATTGACTATGCAGGAGTAGAGAAATGAAAAGAAATGAAATACATACATAAATAGGAAGGATGCAATTTCTCGTTCAAGACTTCCTCCATCTCGGACAGCAGATGTTTGGGTGCATCAAAGATGGGCAGCAACCGGTTTGCCTGAACCTAGCTTGACACACTTAGACTATCTGTTGCGAGCAGGGGGTTCTAAGCCCTTCTGAGGAGGACCCCTCCCTTAAGCTGAGATTTATATTAAAAAAATAAAACAAAACTCAGGTGCTTTAGTTTTTCTTTTCCCAAACCCAGATGACTTGCACCCTAGCAATTGTGCAGGGGGATGCAGCCACTGGTGCTGATACGAGTACAAGTCTTTCCTGCACAATTCCGTATCAATGGGAAATCCTGGAACAGGGCCCAGAATTACATTATTTCTGCAGACATAAAACATATAATGGAGTTAAGAAATTACATTCTTATCCTTTCCTTGGAAATAAAGAGATAATTCAATACACTGCAGGCTGATAGATCATCAAAAGCAACTTAAATAGTACTAGAATGTTTCCATATTTTAAAGGTCAGACCAGAAAGATGGGTGCTTTTTGATTCTCTGGATAAACTTACTTGAATTACAGCCGTATAGTTGGCAGGTGTAAATACAGGGCTGTTATCATTCACATCAGAAATGTCAACATTGACCGTCACAGATCCCGTCAAAGGAGGAATGCCGCTGTCTCTTGCCTGTATGACTAATGAATATCCAGAAACCTGCACGAAAGTTAAATAAAAACCTAAAATTAGCATGGGAAAGGTGAGAGACTTTATCTCGGATTTGTTATATTCTCTACAGTGGTGGAATGAGGTGCAAATGAGTAGGTAGAATCCTGCAGTAGAAAAAATTGACAGTACTGTTTCAGATTCCAAGTGTGGCATTTGAATTATTATTGATCCCCCATGTTAAAGGAACATTGCAAGTAGAAAACTAGCACAGGAAAGAGAAGCCTGGGCTAGAACTAGGGATGAGACAGCATGGTGGTGGGGGGGATTCTAAGGTTTTGCCCGCACTGAATCACTCCCTTTTTGGTGATTCTTGGACAGAGAGCAGAGGATGCATAAAATGATAAAGACGCCGAGGAAACCACGTCCTCACTCTGAATTGACTTGCTGCCTGCCAGCCAGGTCAGACCAGTTATGTGACCTCATCCTGGTCATTCTTTTTCCAAGAAAGGAGAGGGGGCAGATGCCATTTTTTCTATGGGGCCCAAGAAGCGGCTAGGGCAGCTCAGTGGCTTTGAACAGTAGACAGCCCTAAGACAGCCAGTGGAAAGGATGAACCATAATAGGTTAGGACAAGTGGGGCTGGAGATTAGGGGAGACCTTCTTAGATGCCTACTCCCTTGCTTCTTCATGCACTGACTTTTTGTCCATGGGAAAAATAGATTTTTTCCCCCCAAAACTGGGGGCCAACCTTTACTTCTTCATCCCACAAGCCCAGATATAACTTGGTACCTGCAACACCTGTAAGAGGCTATTTCATCAGAATGAGTCTAAGCACAGGCTTCATGGTTACAACATCTGACCTAAGTTTTCTACTTTTTGTGTGCACTCTGAAGAAGTACAATCAACTTTATCACTGCAGGACTATACCACACAGATCCTTGTGTAGATCAGATCTTGCAGCTTGTTTTCTAACTCAAGGTGGTTGGCTTCATTTTATGATGTGGCCTTTGTGTAACAGCATCTCTCCATTTGCTGCTGTATTGTGTCTCTGATCCTGTTTTTTAAAATAAGGCAATCCATAATCATAATGGTTCTGTGGCATTCACATTACTGAATCTGGTGATGCAAGCTGCAGATAATGGGAAATTTAAAGAAATAAATATTTAAACACATTGTATGTTAAAGTCAATATCAACCATTATAAATTTAACTAGGATATATATCCAGAAGAAACACAATTAGACTTCATAGGTCCTTCATTAAATATCAACTTGGGCAACAGAATTAGTCAAATTATCAAAATAGATTTTAATATATCCTAAAGTAGGAAGCTCAAATGCTAACCAAATATTCAGAAAAGGTGCAAGATACTTCTAGGATTGTAGAAGTTGGATCATTTAAAAGTTTGTCCATAAACAAAAACTCTGCATGTAAAATGTGGAAGATGTTAAGCATATAGAACATGCCTCTCCATATGTATTTGGAAGTTAAGCTCCATCCGCTCTGATGAATAATACATTACAGGATCAAACTACACAATGATACGTTAAATACACAGTGTGGAACTGTGGGCCCTTTGTTTCTTTTGTATGCACAAGTAGGGATGGAAGTAATTGTATAAGAACTAAACAGGGCTGTCAAGACAGGACATTTGGGAAGGAATTTGCTCATAAGGTTGCCATAAGTTGACAATGACTTGACGGCATGAAACAACAGCAGAGACAGAAGAGAAACTGGATTCTGCTGCAGATGGAATTCCTTCCTTTGCAAATTCTGCAGACTTGAGGTCCCTTTTTTAACTTCTTAAATTTTACGAAAATTTAGCTGCAGAAAAATAAAATTATAAGATATCCTGGACTGAGAATATGCACTTTCCTTCACAGACGAAAGTGATACACATCTTGAACTCTGTGTGTGTGTGTGTGTGTGTGTCATTGCACATTTTTGGAAGTACACATTTGGGAGATGGTAAAAAATCCAGATCCACCCACAAGGACACAACGGAACAAAAGGTATCTTACAATCTGTGTAACACAGATGGTGGAGTTAATAGTTAGCCTTTCATTTTTTATTCCCCTGTGGTTGTATATGGGTTGATCTGGGGATAGCGGGATGCAGGGAGAGAGAACCTTTCCAATGCATGGCAGTCCAGTTTGAATGGGCTCAGGCACGCTCACACTAGAGTAAAATAAGGCAATCCTCAGCTGCACATTACACAATTAGCATAACATGTATTTTCACTCTAGCAAGTGTGATTTGGGTCTGCTGCTTTTACAAGTTCCATTCAGATCAGCAGGCTTTTCATGCTTCAGTGTTTGCTGAAATCCCACTTATTCCAGTGTTACTTATGCATGCATAATTCTTCCTTCAAGATTTTCCTATGGTCTACAGATGGCAATCAATCCACACACCCTCTGCTTCTCCTGGCAAACTATTTGCAATGGTGATTCCAAATATTGACAGCTTTATCCTGCTGTCATGTTAATACGGGAAGGATGTTTTCTTTCACATTCAGCAGCCTTAAAGCAAACAGAGTCATTTTCCAAGTGGAGATTTTCTTTTTCCCCACCAAAACTTGTTTGTCTGCCTAATTTAGCACCACTAATGCTACCTTGTGTGCTGGGAGATACCAAACAGAATTTACGTCGGTGTTAATAAAGCTGGGTCTATACTGGGCTGATGGGTTTGGGGGGTTTCTTTTCTTCTTTTTGGCATGTTATGTGAAAACAGAGCTGCTGTGTTTACTCTGGGGTGGCAATGGGGAAAATGGACCTATTTCTTCCTAGTTTGTTGAATAAATGATCTCTTGACCCAGGAAATTTTAACAACTTTAGGCCAGTGACAAATGCCCCTTTCCTGGGCAAGTCTTGAGTGGGTGGTGGTCAACCAGCTCCAGGCCCTCTTGGATGAGAATGATTATCTGGATCCTTTCATTTGTGTTTTCAGGGTTATTTTTGGAACAGAAACACCTTTGGTCACCCTGTATGATGTCCTATCTTGGGAAAGAGATGGGAGACCATGTTGATACTCTGGGATCTCTTGATGGCTTTCAATACCATCCACCTTGATATCCTTTGGGGCAACTTCTGCAATGGAAACAAGAAGCAAAACAAAGCAGAACAACTGTTGCTTGGCAATAGTTCTGCCCCTATTTGGATGGTCAGCTCTAGAAGGTGGTATTTGAGGACTATTGCTAAACTCTGTGGATTTACCACTATGGTGTTCCTCAGGGGTCAGTTTTGTCCTCTGTGACAAAAAGGGTGGCTCACACATCATGCTAAACTGTGGCTTTGGGTTTCATGCAAAACCCCTTCCTCTCCCCTCATCTCTCACACATGCACAAGGAAGAGACTGGAAGCATTAGACTCTTTGTTCAACCTACTGCAGTAATTCATTGAGTCTGAACCTGGGCAAACCACTTTCTTGTGCTAATTACAGGTTGGGTATGGGTGAAAAATGTTTCTTGTGACCAGGGCCTTGTATCTTTGGTTCATCTCTTGGGAGCATCATGCCAGAGATGACCAAGACGAGCAGAGTTGGGTCTGAGCCAAAAATGAGCATGACCATGCTTCCCACTTTCTTCCATTGCCTTCCCTCTCTCCAGCTCCATACAGCCAGTTGCCAGGGAAAACCTTTCTTGCTGGCGGCCTGAACTTATAGCTTGCAGAGGGCTTTTAAAATAAGATCTGCATAAAATTAAGTGAAGGGCCACATGCAGGCCTACAGGCTGCCTCTCCTGGTTAGGGAAACAAACCCACTTCAAAATCTCTTTTGCAACTCTGGCTTGTTCCCCTAACCCATGGTTAACACTACCACGGTTTGGATGGAACAAACTTCGATGTTACTTCTCTTTTCTTTGAAGTGTGACGGAGGAAGAAAGGAGAGTGTGTGAGTCCAAGGCTCATTCAGACTTCACTCAGGCTGCATTCAGATGGAACATTAATCCCACTATGTAGAATGCCACTCCCCTTTCTCTCCCTCTGCAACAGTTGTTTCCTCTACAAGTCCATTTGTTCTTATCAGAGTTGCCTTCTTTCATCGCCTACTGGTGAATTTTCAAACACCACCTGAAAGTCCCACTAAGTTTTCAGGCACCTCTGGAATGAAATGTATCAAAGTTTGGTGAATGTTTCAAAATGGCACCCAAACACTGGGGCATATTAGAAATTGGACCCAAAAGTGCTGAAAGTATTCTCTTGTGATAGTGATAATGCTTTAAGAAAGATAGAAAATTTCTTGGACTTTACTGAATGTGGTCTGAAGACAGAGGCAAGGAAGTGGAGGAGCAATTAATCTGATACGAATTTATTATTTATTTCATTCTATTCCTGTGCCAGCCAATATTCAAACTCTTTGGGCCATTTACAAAAGATTAAAAAGTTAAAAATATAATATAAATGTATAAAAAACCATTTACATAAGCAATTTAAAACACTCTACTGTAAAAATCCCAGAATCTTACCCGTTCTCGGTCCAATTTCTTCTTCACTTTGATAAGTCCCAAGCTGGGATCAATTGAAAATTCATTGTTCCGGTCTCCATTGATTATGGAAAAATGAATCTGCCCATTAGGAGGGCTGTCCAGGTCTTCAGCTATCAACTTTGGAAAGGTGAGGAGTCAGAAACACAAGTGAGAAAGATGGATGAATATGCACTGTAAGTAAATTCCATGGCATACTAATCACTGCAAATACACAGTTAAATGCTTTATCAAATTATATCATTAAAATGCATGAAATGACATGTGTTTTCCCATCAGGACTCTACTGCTACTTTGCAAAGGATAAATCTATGCATGTTCGGTGGAAATATTAGGGAGGCTAGCACTGCTATTCCCTTGTCATTGTTACTTCTACTAATGTTCAGCATGAGCAGAGACTGTTAGGCGCTTGTCAAGTCTACAGCATGGGTCGCCAGAGGACAGGGTCAAGACCCTGAGAATTCAGACAAAACCAGAGAAAAATGCTGTGGCTTCAGAAGTTCAGCTGACAGACAGGCAAAGATGGGAGAATGAACAGAAATAGCTGCTTGCTTTCTGCCTGGAAGCTGAAACATCTTTTTCTGTAATCTTTTTGGGGAGACTATTTTTCCAGGAAGGCAGTTCAGTAATGGTATCAAGGGTAGGTATGGCTGGGCAAATGCCAAGGGTCCACACCTTAAGGGGGCCCTTGGATGAAACCACTTGGCCTTGGGCCTCTTTATCACACCTGCAAACTGTTTGCTTGGCTGCCTCTCCACCTGGCCCAGAGAACTGTGCTGAGGAGAGGGCCGTGGCCAACACGGTGCCTGCTCACTAGTTCTCTGGCAGTGAGACATGCAAGGAGCATCAACGATGAGAGGAGCAATCACAGCTGGGGATAATGCTGGTGTGAAGAGAAACTCCCTGAGAACTGGGCCCATGGAGTGTCCCATCCTTAAATACCAGTGGCCAGCACTATCTCAATTACTACTGCTTTGTCACTGAGACATTTGAAGAGTGGTGTCTGTGTTGTGTGTGTCCTTTTTATTGTCAATGTTTGCCAGCCTGATTTTTCTGGTTGAAAGGCAAAATATAAATACCTGGACTGAACAATGAATAAATAAATGTTGGTCCCTGGGAAAGCACCTGGAGAACTATGAAATTATAGGTGACACAACCTCTGTCCCTCTGGCTGTAGAGACATGGACTAAATTATGGACAGATCAGGGCTTTCTCCAGGGGAAGATCTGGGCCCAGACCAGGCACATTTATACCCAGGTTGGGAGAAACAATGGACTATGTGAGTGGATGGACCTGAATTGGGACCAGGGAAGGAGACACCACATTTTCTGCTGTTATCCTGTAACCTGAAGCAACTTGCCACTGGTTGCTCCTTGTCCTGGTTGCTCCTCACAGTGCTGCACAGAATACACGAGACACACAGTGCATCTCTGAGGATTTACAGCATTTCTGGAATTACTGTAAGCCAATAAAAGTATAACTGCTCATGAGAACTTAGCCAAGGATATCACGGCTTTGCCTACAAAATGGCACATCAACATGGGGAAAATCTTTCACAACTCACAGTTATCAATGAATCACCCACTGAAGCATCCTCACTAATGACGGCGCTGTAGACCTCTTGGCTAAATCTTGGCGCATTATCATTAATGTCTGTCACATTTATGTTCACTGTTGTCACAGCACTTAGTGCTGGGCTGCCCCCATCTTTGGCTTCAACGACTAGGAAGAAATCTTTACATGTTTCATAGTCCAGAGGTTCAATCACGGATATGGACCCTTGGGGATAGAAAATTGATTTTTAGTATTATTTAAGGATGCAAACAAGTCTTTGAACACCGATGTTAGTCATCTCAATGTCTACAAAACAGAACCACAACCACAACCAGAACCAGAACAGAACCAAACAAAACACAGGCTGCAGAAGTAGGACCATCTGTTATATCATTGCTCATTTTATAAGTAGTAAAGCATGTAAATAGCAGAAGACAGATCTTTCAGTGGCAGATGAGTAACACGTGACCTTCTTAAAGAAGCAGCAAATACTGCATTGTTGGCTTTAAAAGTTTACTGGAATCAGAAACAAAGAAAAATATTTCTGCATATTCCTCTGTAAGGCTGCTTATTTTATTTATTCCATTTTTACTATTATTGTTGCTCTTATTGATTGTTCATTTTGGTAAGTTTTGTATTTTGATAGATTAATGTTTATTTTGGCTTGTTTTGGGTACAAGGTACTGTTGGAAAGCACCCTATAAATTTAGATAATGGACACAGAAGAAGATATTTGCTGTCACTTTCCTCTTTACTTGTGTTAACACAATTAGGAGACGAAAACTCCATGTAACTTCAGATTGCTTAGTGTGACTGATCCCAGAACACTATGGACTAGGGATGGGCAGGTTTTGTGTAATCCATTTCATCTGTAGATTGTCAGGTTTCTCCAACATCCCTAATATGACTAGGCAATTGCCATGAGCTGGGCTTCCTCCTTTGAGCATTGAAAAGCCACAGACTTTTTTCCAGACAAAGCATCCTTTATTGACCAGAAAGCATGAAGCACCCAAAATGAATCTCTGAGTATGCACTGGGCAGTTCGATCTAGTATTCACCACCAGGAACCCACCTTATGAACATGCCTGGACCCCATCGCTTCGGGAGTACCCTTCTGAAAACAAGCATGCCTCCCCTCTGCACATCATCTTCTCTTTGGGCTGCTCTCCTCCGCTGATGCTGTGTCAGGGGTTGAGAGGCCGGGGCTCGAAGAAACTCCCCTGCTCCAAGGCCCCCTCCTCACCCACCGTACATCTTGGTTACTCCCAGAGGCTGCCGAGCACCTGGGGAGCCTGGCCTTGAGATAAGTGACTCAGCTTCCTTCTTATCAGTGTCCTGGCCTGGCCCACTTCCCAGGCTCCCCCCAGTTCTGCTTCACATCCTGATTCTTGTGATGTCCCAAAGCAGATTTGAATGCAGCAAGCAGCTTTCGGAGTTGGTCCATTTTCAAGTTTGCATTGCGATTTGCACACAAAAGAGTGCTTGTAGATGTGTATATTTGAAAAGCACACGTGAAAAATGGTGTCCTTAATAACCCTAATCCTAATATAATAAACGGGAGAAGTATGTGCGGGGGTTTCCCCCCCAAAATTGATGCATCCAGTTAGAAAAAGGTGAACAAAAGGTATGCAAAGAATGCATGATTTTTTGGTTAAAAAGTGAGTGAGTGAGAGAGAGAGAGAGAGAGAGAGAGAGAGAGAGAGAGAGAGAGAGAGAGAAGCAAATAAAGCTCACGCTAATCAGGATGAGCTTCAAGGCAGAAATCAGAGGACCCTGATGAGCTTGAGTTTTATGGATTAATATATCCCTAGACTGCTTTCCTGTGGATTGGCACCAGTGCAAAGCATCTGTTTGCCCCTGATTCATGGAGAGTTTTCTTGCTCAGGCCAAGGTACATTATGGAATAGTGTAGAAACTTGAGCTTCTGCACTTATCCGTCGGCAAGGCAGCTACCACACGCTAATGCCAAGCAAATGCCTCTCCTTGCCCCCGTGCTCTCCCATGAGTAAAGATCACCCCCACTTTTATATTGATTCATCTTCTTGCCTTCATTTAACATGGAACTTGAACAGTTTTGTTTTGATTTGTTTACATGTCCTGGGGTGTTGATAAGCTAATGCTATTGCAGCTCTCCCAAGTAATAAACCTTAAAATACACACAAGTAGCATTTTAAAAGCTCTTTGGACTAATACGAGCATTCAGAATCAGAGAAAGGGGGAAGAAAGTTCAGTACCTGCTACACAGAAAAGTATGGGAAAAGATCAAGTCAACATGGTAGGTTGGGGAATTTGTTTGCAAATCAACTCTGGCCCATTCTAGGATCTCAGTCTGGTCTTGTTGGGTTCCCCAAAGGGCCACATACCCCTTCCTCACTCCCTTTCTCCATCCGTTAATCATTTGGCCGTTTCCTGGCCTTAGTTTAGTTTTTTCCACATTCCAAATACTTTGAAATGCAGTAAGAATTTTAAGCTAAAATATCCTGGTGTTTTTGCCTCCCTGTCTCTTTATCTTTACTCCCATACTGGAATGCACTGGAATCAGGCTCCTGAAAGCATCTTTGAAATGGAATTTGGGCTAAAAGAGGCTCCTGAGATAAAAGTCTAACACCCTGTTGGATGTCATTCTCAAAAGAAAAAGAGGCCTTCTCTACGTGGGTGAGAATAAATCGTCTGGAAGAAAGAGATGAGAGGATCAGGGAAGCTCCAACTCAGTACAATTTTCCACCCTCTCACTCCCATTCTTGTTTGTAACCTGCTTTTTTGCTTCATTTGAATGGAAAAAAATTAAGAAATTTGTACATGTTCAAGTGCACATTTTTCAAATGTGAACATATTTGGGAATTTGTGAATTATTTTGAGAAACATGCACTCGTATTCAAGAGGTGAGGTTGAGTGACTGGTGAACTGTGGTGAAATTTTCATGCATACCTAGCAGAAACCTTTCACTCCTTCCTTTCCTTATGTCTGAAGCAGATCAAAGGGGTTCTTTACCAACATCATTAGACCTCATGGCCCATGGGATTCACTCACAAGACATAGTGATGGGCGCAGTCTTAGATTAGATAAATGTACCAAAGAGAGGGAGAAGAGGTATTTGAATGACAGTTAGCCAAGATGGTTATATGGAGTATCCACATTCACAGACAGAATACAACTGAATATCGACCAGTGCAGGTAACTAGAAATGAAGAGAGCACAGGAGACCACCAAAACAATCAATGCTGGGGGAGGGAAAGGGGTATGTGGTCCTCTGGGTATGGGGACCCCTGGAATGGGCCAGATTTGGGTCCCAGGCCTGAGGCTTTGCACGCCTGCTTTAAGGGGAGCACAGCTACTAGGTTGTTACTAACAGGTAGCTTTTTAAAAAGGGGTTAACCTCAACTAGTGCATAATATTTATTTTATTCATTTTTCATTTATAAGCTGCCAAACAGATCAAATGAACTCCCTGGGCAGCAGACAATGATAAAATACAACCAAATGATTACAGCTTTTATTAGAAATAACCAATAATCCTAGCACAGGCCAGATCAAGTTCAAGGAATATGTCCAGGCGAGATGAACAACCAAATACTAAAAATAGAATAAAATTTAAACATCTAAAAGCACATTAATTAAATCAGTTATTATTATTATTATTATTATTATTAAAGTAGGTAGAGATGAGATATGCCTTTGCCTGGGGCTAAAATGAGAGCAGAGTTGGTGCCAGGTGAACTTCTCTGCAGAGCCTATTACATAGATGGGGGCAGCCACCAAAAAGGCCCTTCTCCTATTTACCACCCTTCTCACCTCCTTGAGGGATGGCACACTCAGAAGAGCTTTCTGGCCAGGTCTTAGTGGTTGGGGAGGCATATACAGGAGAAGGTGGCCCTTCATGTAGTCAGGTCCTAAGCCCTTTAGGGCCTTATATGCCAACACAAGCACTTTAAATTGTGTCTGGGTTTGTCAATAGCTTTTACCTACCTAAGTGGGAATCTCCATGCTCTGAGTTGTTACAGAAGCTAGGCAGACACAACCAGTGAGGGTCATTGCCCTTCCCAGAGGTTTTTGCTTAGCCAACAGTCGAAACAAGATGCTGGTGGACTAGGTGGACACTTGATCTGATCAAACAGGTTGTTTGCTTTTAGCAGGGACCAGTCTCAGCCAAATGGGGCTTCTAGCTTCCACTGGGCAGGAAGGCCAGGATGCCTGGCATATGTACAGGCAGGGAACAGGGAGATAATCTTTGGGATTTGGGCATCTCATGGACATTTGGGTCAGTATGCCTGTGTTTGTTGCTCAATTTTTTTCTGGACTGCCCTTGCTGCTGTTTAATGGACTTCTGGGGTGGGTTTATTCATTTATTTAGAATTTTTGTATGCTGTCCCATCGCATAGCCTCGGGACGGCTTACCTAAAATAAACACAATACAAATAATTTGTATTTGGGTTTGTTATGCTCATGTTGTTCACTGCAATGAGTGTTTCACCAATTGTTTGATAGGTATGTTTATTTAAAAAGGCACAATGTTTTGTTATTGTGAGCTGCCTGGAGTCTGTTTTGAAAAGAGTCAGCACATGTGTTTTTAAAATGAGGAAATGACAGCTCCATCCTAATGGCCTGCAAGGCAAATGCAGAAATAAGAATTGGTTGAAGCACGAGAAGACAAAACCTGATGGTCTTTCTGAATGCATTTTTCAGATTTTCTTGTGCCACGGCTATCTGCTGATTGCAATAGGGATTTGACTGGCAAGTCCATTTTTATCACTCTATTTCCATCTTTCCTATTGAAGCTATCCTAAACTAGGTGGGTATGATAAAGCAGTTGTCAACATAACCAATGCCCCTGGATTAAAAAGAACACCCAGCTGATATAATGAAAATGTCTTAATAAAGAAAGCGGAAGCTATTTCATCTATATGGACTTAACATTTAATGTATCTGAGTAGTTTGGAGCTAAGGTCATGTTCGGGAATACAAATACAGGCGAAGCCATCACCTTCATAATGATAAATCCAAGGAGAGTGAAAGGCACTCTTATAATAAACACATACCATGTACAATCGGGTGTGTGCAGTCACTATTTTAGAAATATACGGGCAAGAGGATCATGCTCATACATAACGTATCAAAAATGAGCAGGGAAAACAACCTTTTTGAACTTGAATGAATACATTCACTTGCTAGGAACGTATCAGAATATAGCTTCAGTTTGCAAATGATTGGAGCTTGTCCCTGTTCACAACCCAAAATGCAAAGTCATAACTTATTCGATGCGATTTGTTCTCAGCCTAGCTCAGAGTAGAGGATTGCTATGGGAAATAAGTACATTGTCCTCAGTTGCAGGCTGGAAAGGTGGAGTGAAAATCTAATGAATAACCCATAGTGGTTCAGTGCATGACCTCTACATGTTGGGATTGAAAGAGGCAGTTATTCCCAGCATGCATTTCAAGGCCAGGGTGACATGGACTCTTTGGATGGGAAGGATCCCTGGGGAGTGGGGTCTACAGATGCAGAGATGAAAGAGGCAGAAAAGCTTATTTCAATGATGCTGTCTCTGGGTGTTCAGGCAGACCCTACCAGCTGCCTTTAAGTGCCAGGAGCGGGCATGGGACAGGAGCCACAAGAACCAGACAAGCTGGGTACAATCTCTGACCCCATGACATGGTGCCAGAAGAGAAGGTCTAACCAACTAGAGGGAATGTGTACAGCTAGGAGGCTTGGCTGGAGGAATGGTGTCCAGGTTATGCAAAAGGAGGGATCTTAGAAAGAGCTTCTAGTTTGGGTTGAACAAACCACTCTGTGCATGCTCAGAGACTCTTTGTTGCTTTGCAAGAGAAGGGGGAGATTTAGCTCTCAACAATAGGTCAAGTTCGCATTTCAAATGTCGGTGCCCCATGAAGGATCATCACTTCTGCTGATTAACACGGGAGCTGTAACGACCCACAGTATGGAAAGCACATTTTGTGCACTTATGGCTCAAGGTGCAATATACATCTATGAAGATCAATAGAAAAGTGATTTACCTCGGAAACAGAACTGGCTTATGCAAAAATATTAATGGTATAATGAAATATGGTAATTAATGATAAACTAACAGCAGAAATAAAAATTAAAAAGGGTTAATAAAAGCAGATAAATATAATGAAATTTGGGAAGATTTTGTAAAAGCAGTACTGATAGAAAGCAAAGGCTGTAAACCTAATCAAGATTATATGAATTTCTGGATGGGATATGGATATAATTGAAGCATATTATATGTTATTAATTTTTATTTATTTATTTATTTATTTATTTAGAAAATTTCTATGCCGCCCCATTCGCCGAAGTCTTGGGGCGCCTCACAAAACATTAAAATATAATACATTAAAAATATAAAATGAATTAACAATATAAAATAAGTCGCCCTGGCCAAAGAATAAAATAAGGAAAAAATATTAGCAATTAAAATGATGTTTGAATAAAAAGGTCTTCGCCTGGCGCCGAAAAACAAATAACAATGGTGCCAGGCAGACCTCTCTGGGGAGCGCATTCCATAGATTGGGTGCCACCGCAGAGAAAGCCCTCCTCCGAGTACCTACCCTCCTAATTTCTTTCACGGAGGGTTCCTGGAGAAGGGCCTCTCCTGCTGATCTCAGGGGGTGGGCGGGCATATACGGATGTAAGCGCTCCTTCAGGTAACCAGGATCCAAGCCTTTTAGGGCTTTATAGGTCATCACCAACACCTTGAATTGGGCCTGGACTTCAATGGGAAGCCAGTGAAGCTGACGGAGGACTGGAGTCATGTGAACATAATGCCCCGTCCCCGTCAGCAACCTGGCAGCTCCATTTTGAACTAATTGAAGTATCCGGACCGTCTTCAAGGGTAGCCCCACGTAAAGCGCGTTACAGAAGTCAAGGCGGGAAGTCACCAGCGTGTGTGTCACTGTCCCCAGGCAGTCATACTCCAGGTAGGGGCGCAGCTGATTAATCAGCCGAAGCTGAAGGAAAGCGCTCTTTGCCACTGCTGTCACCTGAGCTTCCAATGAAAGCTCCGGGTCGAGGAACACTCCCAAGCTGCGGACCTTGTCCCTAAGAGGGAGTGCAACCCAATTCAGGACTAGGTCAAATCCACCCTCTCCGAAGCCTGATCCGCCAACCAACAGGACCTCCGTCTTGTCTGGATTGAGCTTCAGTTTATTGTCCCTCATCCAGCCCATTACCTTGGCCAGGCACCGGTTCAGTACAGCCACTGCCTCATCTGGATTGGTGGAAAACGAGAGGTAGAGCTGGGTATCATCAGCGTACTGATGATTCCGCAGCCCACACCTCCTGATGACCTCTCCCAGTGGTTTCATGTAGATGTTAAACAGCAAAGGGGACAAAATGGACCCCTGTGGTACTCCATGGCATAGCTGCCATGGCGCAGAGCCATAGTCCCCCAGCACCACCTTCTGGAACCGGCCATTGAGATAGGAGCGGAACCACTGCAAAGCAGTGCCTCCGACCCCCAATCCCGCTAGCCTATCCAGAAGGATACCATGGTCGATGGTATCGAAAGCTGCTGAGAGGTCCAGAAGAACCAACAGGGACGCACTCCCCCTGTCCTTCTCCCTGCACAGGTCATCGTACAGGGAGACCAAGGCAGATTCAGTACCGTACCCGGGTCTGAAGCTGGACTGAAATGGGTCCAGATAATCAGTTTCATCCAAGAGAGCTTGGAGTTGTCCTGCCACCACCCGCTCCAACACCTTGGCCAGAAACGGGATGTTGGCCACTGGTCTATAATTAGTGGCCATCTCTGGATCCAGTGACGCTTTCTTCAGGACCGGTCAGACTACCGCCTCCTTTAAAGGGGCAGGCACCCGACCCTCCCTAAGAGAGGTGTTAACCACTTCCAAGATCCAGATCCCAATTCTGTGCTTGTAATTATTAACCAAGACGGGCAAGGGTCCAATAGGCAAGTGGTGGGATGTACTCGTCCAAGCACCTTGTCCACATCATCAGGCCGCAATAACTGAAATTCATCCATTAATTTTGGACCAGACGGCAGCATTGGTGTCTCCCCAGAAACTTCTGAGTCACTAGTAAAGTCTAGCTCGTGACGAATCTGAGCGATTTTCTCCCTGAAATGTTTGGCAAAGTTGTCACAGCAGGTGGCGCAGTGGTTTAAACTGCTGTGCTGGTAGACTGAAAGGTCGCTGGTCCGAATCTGCACAACAGGGTGAGTTCCCGCTGCTCCGTCCCAGCTCCTGCCAACCTTGCAGTTTGAAAGCATGCAAATGCAAGTAGATGAAAAGGTACCACTTCGGTGGGCAGGTAACAGCGTTCCGTGCACTTCGGTGTTTAGTCATGCCAGCCACATGACCACGGAGACTGTCTGCGGACAAACGCTGGCTCCTCGGCTAGGAAACGGAGATGAGCACCGCCCCCTGGAGTCAGGCATGACTGGATGTAACGTCAAGGGGAAAACTTTTTACCTTACGAATTGAGGTATTATTGGTCTCCAGGGTGGTGGGAGCACTTTATTATTTACTTTTTCAATTATTAATTGAATGTTTGTATGTTATATTGATGTTGTGAAGTGTTGTATGTATGGGTTTTTTTCTGTATTAAAAAAAAAGGGATAATAAACATTATTTACTTAACTTGTGCTTTTCCTGCAGTGTTCTAGTTTGGAGCCTGTATTTTGTCTATCTTTTAAAAAACTTTCTTCAGGTTACACAACAGACTTCTTTTTGCTTACCCTGTTTTCTGAGAAGGGCAGCTGTTGTCCTTTACATACCTGTCTTTGAATCGATCCTGAATTTCCCCTTTTCATTCCCAGATCTGATGACATAGGTGATTTCTGCATTTGTACCGATGTCTTTGCTCGTAGCAAAAACCGAGAGGATTTCAGCCGTGGGGCTGGTATCCTCAGGCACCGTCACAAGATAATCTCTCCGCTCAAAGATGGGAGGGTTGTCATTAATGTCCAGGACGGTGATTGTAACTGTGGCGAATGAGGACAAGGTCTGCATGATCCCCTGGTCGGAGGCTTTGACTGTGACGTTATACGATGGCTGAAGTTCTCTGTCCAGCGGATGCTCCAAAATGATGATTCCTGAGGACTTGTCTACTGAGAAAAATCCTTCTGAAGAGTCTGCTAGAGAATAGACTATCTTTCTGTTCACACCTAAAAAAAGACAGGAAGATACAGCAGTTGATCTTGGTCTGATGTAGCAAACAAAGGACTGGGTTTGGTTCTGGGAGAAATAGATCCCAGCAGGTATACCAGCATCTCATCAGGTGAGATCAAATTCCATCAGCCTTAGGACACTTTGAAAAGGACAGAGACTATGAAATATGTACAGAGTGCACAGGGGATGTGTGAGGAATCCGTTATGGGGGTGACAATCTGTCAGACTGGTCCGCTTCTGAATTCCCGGTGAGCATGTCCAGTGTTTGTGCAGCAGTTGCCAGGAATCGAGCCCCACATGAATGCTGCTCGAGGTGCATTTCTCCTCTGCATGCCATCCAGCAGCCTCTGTTTGTGCTGTGTGCGACACGGCACATGACGCGGAAGCCGTGTTTGGGGACTTCCTCTCAGCTGAGCTCATTTTCTAAGCAGTGGCTGAAAACAGAGGAAGTACCTGAACATGGGAGGGAAGGATTCCACGCAACCCTCGCATGCATTCCGCCCACAGCCCCAGTCTGCAAGGTGCCTTGTCTCAAACTGGGACCCCCACAGGCAGGCAAGGTGCCTGCATCTCCAAGGAAGGGCGTCTGCTGAAGGAGCCCCAGTCTGAACTGTGCTATCTGCTCAGGGAGCATTACAAGCCCTGGCAACTCCACCAAAGCCTATGAAGATTCAGGCTCGTGGCCAGCCCTTAACCTGAGCGATCTGTGTCCACAGCTGCTGTTTCTGGATCACAGGATCTTTGCCTACTTTGGACGGGTTGCCTCTGGCGCTAATGGCTTGTCCCCAACACAAATGGGGGCTTTGAGGCGATTACCAGTTGAGATACACATTGCAGTAAGCCAATCAGAGTCATAAAACCATAAGGGCATCAGAAGGGCCATGCTAGATAGGACCAGTAGTCAGCCAGGTGCCAATGGGAAGGTCCCATACTGGAGGTGGCTTTGGAGGTGGCATCTGCCATGACATCAGTCACTGAAGCTAGATAACCATCCTTGGTCAGTGATTTGGACTATGTTGAAGAGAGGAAACTAGCAGTTTGTTATACATTATCTTTAGCACAATAGGGAGGGGCTGTCATTTGGATTTTCTGCCTCAAGTGCTGCAATGTCTTGAGCCACCTCTGGCAGAAATAACTATTAACATTTTAATTACAAACCCAGCAGGAGGAGGAAGGACAAAAGGAATGCACAAAAAATCAGACTGTTGAGAGCTAACGGCAAGATGTTAAGCAGCAAACTCACGGGGTAGGAAAGAAGAAATGAAGTGTAACCTATTCCACTAATAAGTTAAGAGGAGCTGATTTTGAAAGCTCAGATCTGTACAGGTTATTCAGAACAGAATAGCAGAACCAAAATAGGCAACTCAGCAACTGTGCTAGCAGCTTTGAGGAATGTCCTATTTGGCATTGCTGGGGAAGCTGCTACTTGGAAATGCCATTTTTTCAAACTGTGTTTTCCCTGGTTGTCCATCATGTAAAGCAGGGATGGGGAACCTCTGGCCCGTGGGCCTAATTCAGCCTGCAGAGGTCTGCATCTAGGCCACAAAGGTTTAGGACTCTTCCATGGGCCTTGCTCATTCTCCTCCCCAAGCTCCACCAGAAACCTGCTGGAGGTTTGGGGAACATCTGGAGAGAGGAATTCCCCTGTAACATCTGATCTGTAATGGGGCATACGCAGAAGATTGCCCTGTGCATTGCTTGCCTTCCCAGTTGGGAGAGGGGTGCTAAGTGCAGTGCATCAGCTGATACTTGCATCAGGTGAGATTGCATTAGCTTCTCCAAACTGCAGCCAAGTGTGCTCTGGTCATGCTTTGCATCCCCTGCTTGAACCTCACTGGTGGGATCTGGGGGACTCCCTTTCCTCCAGCCATAATCGCAACAAGTAATCACAGTAACAAAAGACAAGGTCTTGTTTAAATTGCATTATGAAAGATTAGATGACTCTCAAAGGATCAGAGGTATATTTCTGAAAATACCTTCTTCTGGATTCACCCAAGATCAGGACATGAAGTCTTGAAAAATTCATTAAGAACAAATGATATTTAAATTATAATTTTACCATTTCTCATCTACCATGTCAATACACTTAGGATATATTTCCAAACATTCCAAAACTCATTAAAGAAATGTGACATCTAAATGATGATTTTATTATCTGCCTATCTGAAACACCAAGAATACATTTCCTGGCATTCCGAGTTCATTACAAATGCAAGTCACTTAAACGATCACTTTATCATCTATCATTATTATTATTTATTTGTACTGCAGCAGTTCCCAGTGGCCTCGGGGTGAGACAAGGCATTGGTGGGTTAAATGGCATATAAATCCATGGTTATGGATAGCTGCAATTTTTATTTGTCAGTGAGGATTTGGAAGATTTCAATTTTGCATCCTTTCTGTATAGCTGTCATAAGGGATCCATTTCTGCTGGTCTGAGGTAATGAAGAGAAACATATAGTATGTATGTAAGGGGAGAGATTCTTCGGAATGTACTTTCTCTCCATGTTCAGAGTGTGGGGGGAGGGGGGTCCATGTCTCCCCTGCAGAAAAACTTTGAAGCACCATCATTTCTTGAGCATTGTTAGATAGCTAGGCAGTCAACACTCCAAGGACACACACAAAATACTCTCTTTTCAAGCAGCTGTGATGACTGATACATCCTTCCTTCCTAGATACAACTACCATTCTATTCTGGAACTCTCCTCCACACCAATACATTTATTTTATTTATTTAAAGCTTTTATAGCTCACCCCATTACTAGTGTCTCAGGACTGTTTACCTCAAACACATGAGTTTTCTCAGGCAATGATCCCCCCTCCCGCCATCTTCTCCTTCCCCTTCTTTGCTTGCTTTCATTCTATGCTTCCTTCTTAGGCAAAAGTCCTAACTTTGTACATAACATCAGTCGCAATCCTATCAATTGTGTCCTCATTGCATAGAAGCCCCTGAACTCAGAGCATGTGACAAAAAGCCTTCCTCTGCTCCTTCTTGGCATTCTGCTAGACAGATACCTCCAGCATTCTGGCTGAGACATTTCGGAGGAGAATGGAAGGAGGCTGGCGAACTGACAGGGTAACTTGTATCCTGAGGACCCCACTCTGGATTCCTGCTGGTGGAACATTCCTTTACGCTCTCTCTGAGGTCAGTTTCTCAGCCACAGAGAGGTGGCTGGCAGTTATTTCTGCACCAGCTGTGCAGGTGGGAAGGTGATCGGACCAACAGAACTCTGTCTCTGACCTTGAATCTAGTAATCCAAATCATTCTATCATCTCCTAGTCAAAACATCTAGCCCAGCATTTCAACTAAAAGCAGTTTAAATAAACGGATTTTCATGGGCTGTTTAAAAATTAGCTCTGAGGGCACCAAGTATGTATTGCTTGGGAGGAACATCCACAGATATGGAGTCACCAGTGAGAAGACCCTGGGTTCTAGTTTCCACCGATCTGATATGGTGGAGTTCCACTAACTCCCTCTGCTGATGGAAGCTTTTTAGGCAGATGATGTTCAGCACTTCCTACTCTTCTCTAGAATAGGATGTATTGAGCCTCTCCAGAAACCAGTTTGCACCTGCCTGTTAGACTCCTCCCAGTGCTCATCCCTATCCAAGGAAGTGAGCCAAGCCTAGAAGAAGTTGTGCAACTGGAACAACCTTCTCTAACCTCCTTCCCCACTCCCTGCTGCCAGAGACAGTGGCGGTCATGATCGAATGATGCTATTTCCGCAGTGTGTGGGACTCCATTCCCGGGGACTGGGCATGCACTCCAGGAACTGGGCTGAAACCAGGGAATTGGGCAGATTTTCTACCCAAAGCAGGTATCCCATACATCCCTAGTCATGAATGCAGTGGAGTTTCCCAGATAAACCAGGAATAATCAAAGGAATAATCTTGCACAGGGCCAACACAATGTTGACACTTCTTTTCTTTCCAACTTATAAACACAGAGATCTCTCTTTCCTCCACCCTACCTGTTCCATCACCATCTCTACCCATCAGAAACGGCATAGTTTAGGCTGGGGCACAGGACTGTTCCATGAGCTATGCCAGAGGTGTGTTGGCCACTAGGCAGCAAAAGGACCCGATGCTAAATTTCATAATAAGCTACTGCTCTGACACACTGTCTTGCAATGAAACGGGACCTGCTGTTTTATTTACGCAGTTTTCCAAAGATAAATATTTGCAGCAGAGGTGATAGAGGTGATATGTCCAACAATCTCTTTCCGAACTTTTCCAAACCAACCATTTGAAGCTGCCTGCTGCCCCGCTCACTCTTTCCCCACCCTGCTGCTCTGTAATAACAAATACACTTTTAAAGCAGATGAGAAAGCTAAGAAAAGGGCATGCTTGCAAATGGCCAGAGTGTAGGATGGTTGTAAGTCTTGCCTATGGAAAGATTTATAGCTATATTAGCACACTGCTGATTCAAGAGATCTCTCTTTTAATATCCTCCTATCAATACTGTCATATTTCATTATTAGCATCTTGCATGACTAGTGCTCGACCCTAATAGCTAATCAGCATAGAGAACCGCAAAGCTGCAGGTCAAAAGTTATGGAACGAAAGCGGTGGCAACTAATGATTACTGCAAAAACTGCTGATTCCAGGTTTTCTCCCCTGATGCCATCCTCCAAATACCCTGTCGTATCACAGAGAACTGTAGGGTGGAAGGAAGGAAAATGAAACAGGATTAAGGTTTCCAAAGATGAATTCCCCTTCAAGGCATGAAATTTTCTTGTCCACAGCACTGCGATTTCAAATTCCAATTGCTTGTTTGTTGTGTGTTTCAGCAGTGGTACTGAAAATGAATATGGTTTTTAATGGAAAAGCAAGAATAACAATAATTAAAAGACCATGCCAAATTCCACCTATGAAATGTTTGTGGTTAGCATGCCTTGCAGTCTTGTCCACTTACCAACGTCTGGATCATTGGCTTGGACTCTGGTCAGCAAAGCTTTGGTGGCAGTGTTCTCATAGACACACGCTGTGTAGTGGTCAGAGGAAAATATGGGTGGGTTATCATTGACGTCTTCCAGAATCAGATGAATCTCTGACTGGCAGAACCTGCCTCCCCCGTCTGTCGCCCTTGCTATCAGGTTGTACGCAGGGATCTTCTCGCGGTCTAACGATGCTAACGTTTTGAGTTCCCCTAAAATGCATTAAATGGAACAAGGGGAAAAATAGACTTGATTGATGCTTTTATGATGAGTACTGGAATGTTGTCAGGCCCCTTCTGACTTGCTCTGTTTCTATGTTTTTTGTTTTCTTAATGTTCAGCTACAATCCTGCTCCCACACCTACAACTTTCACTTTCATCAGGAGTCGTTTCAAGTCATCATGACTTCCTGCCAGTAAGATGGTATCATCTGCATATTTTAAGTTACTGATGTGTCTTCTGCTAATTCTTACTCCTACCTCTGTTCCTAACCCAGTTTTCCCAATAATATGGTCTATGTACAGACTGAACATATACGGAGATGAGATACACCATTGTCTGACACTTTTGCCTATGGAAAAGTGTTCTGTTTCTCCATATTCTGCCCTAACCTAACAATAGCTTCTTGCCCAAGATACAGGTTATGCATCAGAACGTTCAAGTGTTGAGGTACACTCATTTCTTTCAGGACCATCCACAGCTTCTCATGATCCATATAGTCAAAGGCTTTGCCACAGTCTATAAAGCACAGATGGATCTTTCTCTGTAATTCTTTGCTGAGCACCAGTAGCCAACACATATTTACATTATGATCTCAAATGCCTAGTTCTTTTGGGAATCCAGCTTCAACATCATCAAAGAAAGGTCCATCAGAGAAACTAAGAGCAATGCTACCAGTAAGCCAGACTTGCTTTCACTTCTGAGAAGGGCCACCCAAGGCAGAATGATCAAAGTTAAGATGGCTAAGATGCCTCCACCTTCTTCAGAAGTAACAACTACATAGGTAGTAGGTAATAGCTATTTCTAATGGTGATGGAGCAGAGAGGCTCCTGCAGGGCAGCTATGGGGCAGCAGAAGCAGTTCAAAGTGACACTTGCAATGACGGTGAAGGTCAAGAAAACTCTGGTAAGCACAGAAGGCAATGCTAAAGCAGTTCTGAATGTTCTTTCCTCGTCAACCATATGATGAAACAATGCAGAATGAAAACATATATTGTACACAGTACCTCTCATACATAAGTATATATATTGCAATGGATATTTCTGAACCCTACGGAAGGCAACTGTACTACTTTTATCTATTTTAATTTTTTGTTTGTTCCAACAAAATTAAAAAAATGTAAAAAAAGAGGACACATCATTTTTCTCTGAATAATTCAGTCCTTCAATGCATCTCATTCTATGACATGGCAACGATCCATCTTGAAACTCTTGCAAACCACATCCCTATATTTCATAGATGAAAATTCTTGTTCTCTCACCATTTTCTGGATCTAAGAAAAACTTGTTGTTCCCAGACCCATAGAGCGAATAGCGAATTTCACCGTTGGATCCAATGTCCATATCTTTTGCACCCACTGTTAGGATAACCTTGTTTGGAGGAGTATCCTCAGGAAAGAGAGTCATATACGTAACCTGAAGAACAAAACCCAAAATAGCAGAATGTAACCATTTTGCATCTGTGTATTGTTACTAAAGATAAAAGGGAAATTCGTTTGGTTTGACATTTTAAGCAACCTTACCTAATTTGCATTTCCTAAAACATGATGCATGAAATAACCGGCACCAACATCATGATCCTTGTATCATCAGATGAATGAATACCATTTTCATTCTCTAAGATCATTTTAATTGTTTATTTTTAAATCTGTGTTGGTGCTTTTTAGATCTACTGCTGGTTTTTACATAGGTTTTATTCTTTTTTTATTTTCAAGAGGGTTTTTTAACTATTTAATATTAGAAGATTTTAAGTTCAGAAAAATAAATAACACAGTAAAATGAATAATGACACTAAAAATGGCCTGATTTTGTTGAAACAGGCAACCAAGCAAACGCTGCCAACCAACCTGATCACAGACAGGGCTGTTGTCATTCACATCTGTGACGATCACTTCAACCACGCTCTGCGTTACGAACAGCCCATCAGTGGCTGTAATGTTCAGGAGATACACGTCCTGCTCTTCCCGATCTAGTGGTCTCTTCACATAAACCTTCCATTCATTTTGAACAAGGCCAAGGGCAAACTTCCCTTTGGAATTTCCTCCTATGGAGAGACACAACAGTTGCTGCCATCTGTCAGTCATTTTCTCTTGAGAGTGGATGCTGAGGAGTCCCATCAAGAGCTAAATCCTACCAATGGGTTCCCAAGATTAACTTTAGGTTATGAAAAGGAGCTTCCATTGACATGATTCCCACTGTTTCGCCACAGCTGCGGTAATCCTTTGGCAAAGCAGCATTTCCCACCATTCCCCAGGCACCTCCAAGGGACCATCCGAGGGCTGCAGAGATGAAGGGAAAGAACAGGCTTCCCTGCTGATGCTCCCACAATCAAAGACTGGACAGCAGAGGAATCCAGGGGCTCCTCAAACTCATTTTTCAGGTGAGGGGGTGTTTTAAGAACCTCTGGATTTCTTCAGGGCTGGCTCATGAAAACTTAGCATCTCCTCCTGTAAAAGTAACCTTAGGATATTTACATCTCAGTGCAGCTTCATCATTACTGGACCACTCTTTCCTCAGGCCCAAGATCGATACAATCCCACTCAATCTCCTAATGGCAAATAGTAATGTGGGTGCTGCACATGGACCAGTTCACACGGACCTTTCCGCCTTGAAGCTCTGTACTCCTCCTCTCCCCTCTCATGCAACTTTTCCCCTTCTAGAACTAGCTGTAGATCGTTAATACTGTGCCTACAATCATGTTAGTCCTTGCACCAACTAGCACTTGCAAACCTAAGCCAAGATACCATTTCCAAGACTAGTCTGCAAACCCAATCCACATTTATTACTAATACTAATTCAGAAAATGAAAGCAAGAAGTGCATCCTTGTCTGAGAAGAGGCATTAACTGATATTTAAGCCACAGAGTGCCCCCAAGTGCACACTGAGCCCAGGAATTTGTGACTGACAACATACCTAAGCTCATAGGTCCTTCCACATACAAATTCACTCCTAGCATTACTTGAGTGTGCAAGGATTTGTGAGACTTGTCACGGCATTGTAGACACATTCCTAAGCCAAACAAGTGTTCAAAAGAACCATTCAGCTGTTATATAGCACCTGCTCCAGATGATAGATCTCACCATTCTAATAAAAATCAGTAAATCTAAGTGTGCCCAGCTCTTTTCTACACAACTAGTAAAACTACACTGGAGATGCAGTGTATCTGGCCACACCATTCTCCCCTCATTTCTTCCTGATTTCACAGAACTTGTGCGGGATTTGCACTTGCCAAACACTGCAGTACAGACCAACAAGTTCTCCTTAGTCTGTTGAGAACTCTTTGGCCAGCAGCTGCCATAGACCTCCTGAGATGATGACAATGACAGCTTGAGATGCTTCTGTCAGCTCTATGAGAGTCAAAACAGGTAACTTTCCAAGGAAATGAAATAATTTAGGCCAAGTTTTGAGATGATCACCTTGCTTAACTGCCCTTAAGGGCAATCAGCCTCAAACTGTGAACAATCAATGTTCTTCCTTTCACAATAGTGCTATTGTCTTTCCGTTTTGAGTCTCAGGAGAGGATGTACTACAAGCCCCTCTCTCTTGTTACCAAGACAATTTCATTAGGTGTTGATTATGCAATCAAGAGAGTGCAGCAGGTTCCATTAAGGAAGCCATTAATGAACACTTTTATCACACCATGTGTTGTTTTTTGTATTCATTACAATTCTCATTTCGGTGCATGTGGGGATTTTTAGAGCCTGCCGAACACACAAAGACATATGAGTATTAAGTAGCCCTAACAAGAGGTCGTTTAAGGAGCAGCTCAAAGATAAGGCCAGCAATTAGGCCGAATTTATACAAGTGGAAAAGTCAGCGGCAAGAGAAGGGATGGAGCTGATGAAGCCAATCAGCTTTCTATTACAATGAAACTGTGACACTGGAGCCGGCAACGTTACTTTTCCACATCATTAACCTGCATGGCGACAAAATCAAAGCCGAAGGCTTGTTCTCAGCTATTTTGAGAGGAAAATACAGCCATTTCACACCCTGGGGGATAGAGGGAATAAAAGAGTACCAAAACAGTCCTGGTGCCTGGTTGTTAAATGCTACATTCACCTATTTGTTTGATACAACAAACACCATCAATGTGACTTTTTGGGATCATGCTTCTTAAGGACAACTGATTACCACTCTGAGAAGCAAACTCCTGAAGGGCAAAGCTATCAGAGGAGTACAGCTGTGTCAGTGAGTTGCTGGGGTACATGAGTGGGATGAAGCCATCACGCTTATGTTCTACTTGGGTGTTTCCCAAATGCAGCATGTCTTCATGTGATGACAAGGCAGGACCAGGTAGACCCTTGGTCTGAGTCACCATGACTCTCCTCATGTTATGTTCTAATTGTCCATTTGGAGCATCTTCCTGGGCTGGGAAGTAGACCTAAGCTCTGAACTGGCCCCTCCATGCTTCTTAAGGGCAACTGGTTAGTCACTCTGTGAAACAAATTCATGAAGGGAAAAGCTATCAAGGATATAAGATAAAGGAAGTCTTGGCACCTTTGGTCATAGGGAGATTTGCCATTGGAGTAAGGGCCAAGCAATGGCTCACCTGCACTCTGAGCCTGAGGTGTCCCATAAGCTTTTCCTAAAGTTGGGAATCCCACATGGCAAGATGTTCTACAAACACTACAGCAAAAACTGTTTAATATCATTTTAATTACCTTGCAATTAAAGGGAGGGGGGGTCTGTGGTTCAGGTGTCTACTTTTTACAAATCTTACATGTGCCTTCCCTCAGACCTCATTCGATGAGGATTAATTAACCTTTTAACCAACATATTTAAACAAATTCAGTGTCTTAAGGGCATTCTAATTAATTCATTTTTCACTGTAGATTTTCTAAGTAGAAGATTCCTAGCTGCAAACATTAATAGAATCTTTAAAAATCTGATAGCAGTTTTCTTCTTACTTTCTGTTTGAGAAGGCAACATCTAAGCATTAGCTACAACAACACCTTCTCCAAGGCCTTAAGGCTAGAAGAATCTGTATTTCTTGCTCTGTTTTTGTTTATTTCATGTTTGAGTACCACCCCATTCAACTGCCTCCTCAGAGAATGTTACAAAAATAAATTGAGCTCAGCTAAATGAAAGGTATATTTGTAGAGACACAGTTAAAAGGAAATAACCCTCTCCTGAAAGCAAGCAAAACACATTTAAAAGGTACTGGTAACTGCGTTCATTCATTTTTCCAGTGACTTTAATTAAAATGAGAAAATATTCAAATCGTATTTCAAAATGGCTATAAATTCCTAACTGTGCTTGAATGAGAACTGGTTTTTATGTTACTTGAGCGGTTCTTTCCTGGGCATAGTGGTAACAAAAGTAATGAGAGCAGCCACTCAGACGTCTCGTGAAATAGTTAGAGTGTTGGTCTGGGACTTGGGAGATCCAGGTTGTAGTCCCCACTCAGCCCAAATCTCACTAGGTAAGTTCGGGCCAGTCACTTACTTTCAGACTGACCTACCTCACAGGGTTGTTATGAGGATAAAATGGAAAGGAGGACTGCATTGGATTCCTTGCAAGAAAAAGGGTTTGATATGAGTGTAATCAATAATAATTATAATGACATTTATTTATTTCTTCAAAACTTTTTTAGACTGTCCCTTACCGTGGTCTTGGGATAGTTTAACAATAAGACAAAATAGAATAAAACAAAGCATCCTAGTCAAAATCTTAACCAATCAACAATAAAACCCATATAATAATGGCTACTCCTCAACTAATGCTACTGGCCCTTGGGAATAGGCACCATTCAGTCCAAATTAAGACCGTAAGTGGATCAGGCTGGTGACCTGGCATGCATTACAGGGCCTAGGAGGGTGAAGAGGGAGGAGTCAGCCTCTCCCAGGTATGCGCACAGGTTGGGGCACTTGGTCCAACACCAGGGTAGCCCTGAAGGCAGGGAGGGCCTGCAGGACCTCCGGCTCTTTTGCCAGGCTCCCTGTCCGCCTGACCACCAGTTTGCAGTCCCTGCATCTTGTCCTGGGCCAGCGGGGCAGAGAAGGGATTCTGCTGGTGCACTGCTCACCCTGCTGCTCTACAACATCCCTGTTAAAATCGTCAGCCCCTGCAGGGTAGTACATCCAGATGGTTCCCACAGAGCCCTTGGGGTTTCCAGTGATCTGCCTGGCAGTTCCCTTGAGTTCCTTGTTGGGTTCTAGAATACAGAAATGACTCAGGCACTTGACACATTTGCTCCCGAGTGTCCCCTCCATACTAGAACTAGTGTGGCTCTGTGCCACACCACATACCTGGGGGTGATCAAACAGCCTAGGAGATAGCTTAAGTGCAGATGGAAGAAACTTCAAGAGGGTGTGATCAAGCCCTCATGTGTGCCAACAGCCAGGTGTGTGTGTGTGTGTATTTAGGAACACTGAGGGTAGCAAAGAAACAACATCTCAGTACTCTAGTGAACCTTTTTGCTACTCCACAGAGCTTTGCAGGGTCACCTGGGGCCTATTAGATTCTGGCCCCAAGCACACCTCAGACATGTTTGATGTCTGCTGTGATGTATTTGCTGGGCACTTCCAGGATAAAATCTTTTCCAACTGCCAGGACTTGGCAATTCCAATTTTACAGCAGCTGTATCAGGTGAGGTAAACAGAGCACAGCCCAGTTGACTTTTATTGGATGGTTTTCAGTGGGTTCAATTTGAGGACAAGGTGCTTGGACAGGTTCATGCATATTGGATCCTCTCCCCACCACCCTCTGAAGGCTTGCAAAAGCTATCAGAAAGGGAAGAGCAGAAAGGGAGAAGTTCTACACCGTCTTAAAGCAGCATGGATCACCTCTCTGGAGCTGAAGGATCCCAGTAAGGTCCGGGCAGTGGCAAATGCTCCCTTCTTGGGCAAGGTCCCTGTCAGCTGTTTCAGGAAGTCCAGCTCCATGAACCCAATTTAACGAAGTTTTAAGAATTTGGTTTTATATTTCAGTGAAGTGTTATGATGTTTTTGTTCTTACTTGTATTTTATAGTGCTTTTTAATTGGTGTACACTGCCCAGAGAGCTTCAGGTAATGGGCAATACAGACATAAAACAGCAATTTGAC